CCTTCCTGCCGGGGACAGCGAGCTCATCCCGCCGCACGCATGCCGCTTGCTAACGGGATTAGGGCTGAGGGGCCGCTCGGGGCAGCAGATGCTCTCCTGCCAGGGGCCTGCTGGGCGGTGCTCCTGCCAGAGCGATGGCTAACGGACGCGTGTGCAGGCCGTTGCGGGGGGTGGGGGGACAGGGGGGGTCATCAGTCCCACGCCCTGACACCCGCCCAGGGTACTCAGCACAGAAGTCTGGCCGAACTCTCCCAACATACTCATCCCCCCTTGTCCCCCCCAACTCCGAAAGCTTTCCCCGGAGGAGAAATATCCATCTCCCCACGAATTACCCGCTCACCCACCGTCCTGCGCCTTATGGACCCTCACGATCCCCGTCATTTCCTGGGCACCTGCTATGCCCACCTCGCTCGGGCGCTGTGTGAGTTACTTCACTTTCTTCCACAGCCTCCCTCTCCTGACCTGACAGACAGGACACTTTTCTTGTGTTTTTTTTGTTTGTTTTTTAAATTGTGGTAAAACACACATAACATAGCATTTACCATCTTTTTTAAAAATATCTTCTCATTGATTCCAGAGAGGAAGGGAGAGGGAGAGAGAGAGAAACATCAGTGATGGGAGAGAATCACTGATCGGCTGCCTCCTGCACGCCCCCAACCCGGGCCTGTGCCCTGAACGGGAATCGAACCCCCTGACCCCTGGTTCATTTGATTCCAGGAGGCAGCCTATCAATAATTCTCTGTCATCATTGATGTTTCTTTCTCTCCCTCCCTCTCTGAAATCAATAAAAATATACTTAAAAAATAAAATGTGATATAAAATAAGCCAGGCCGGCCTCCCAGCTGCCCCGCGACCAGCTGCCCCGCCTGGTGTGGCCATGCCCGGTGTGCTGAGCCAGGAGGCCCCCAAGGGGCCAGGCTGTCTGTCCCCTGACATCCGCCCCCGCATCCTTGCTGCAGGCAATGGGTCTTCCCACCACGAAGTCGGACATCGATGAGGGCGTCCTGCCACCGGGACCTGTCTGTGGTTCCCCGTCTCCCGGGAGGAGGGCTCCCTGAGGATGAAACTCCCAAGACCAGAGCTCCAGACCAGTGTGTGTGTGTGTGTGTGTGTGGGGGGGCAGGCAGGAGGTGTGGGCGGGGTTCAGAGCGCCAGGCCTGCGCTCACAGGTCTGCACACAGAGACAAACCAGCTGCCAGCCCCCAGGTGCTGTGGTTTGGGGAGCAGCTCAGGGGCCAGGGGATTTGCAACCCACCGGCCAGCAGGGGGCGCTGTGGGCTGAGGGACTGTGGCTGGAGGAGGCGAGAAGTGGACCCTGTGTCCTGTGGTCCTCAGAGGTGCCCTGATTGGGGGGGGTCTGATTCGAGCTGGAACCCCAAACGAGTGGCTTCAGGGTCATCAGTGTCCCTGCTGCGCACACTCCGCTTGGAGCCCGACCCAGGACAGTCCTCCCCACCGTCCTCCTGGCCGCCCCCCCTCCAAATCCTCCTGCCCACCGTGCCGTCCAGCCACCTTTCCGTCCCCAACTTTGTGGAGGCTCCGCCACGGGCTGTCCTCCCTCCGGGCTGTGAACCTCTGTGCTCCACCCCCGTTCCCACGGCCTTCATTTACCTCCCAGAACCATCGGGGCCCATCGGGCCTTTCTCACGCTCCCCACCCCCAGGCCCTCATCCTGAAACGTACCCCACTTGGCTTGATCTGCGGCCAAAGCTGTGGACTCCGGCCCCACCCTGGGGT